TCTCCAATTCACTGAGCTATTTAGATTCTTTCATTGAGCAGGAGTTTGGACTTGGCCTTATAGGCCCCTTCCAACTCAGTTATTCTGTGATTCAGCCAACTACTTCAACTATCACAGCACTTTTATTTCTGCAGTCAGTGTTTGCTGCTTTTGTCTTAGTCTGTGATGTATTTGAAAGTTACTTTGCTGGTTTTTCTATTGTTGTTTTTAAACAGGTGCTCAGATGAAGCATGCCAAATTCTGTCCCAGTTTGAATCCATGAAATATATCAGATCAGTGTTTCAGCTGGGTACATATATTTAGGAGCAAAATGCTCACAAGTACTTTACAATCTGAACCTGTACGTATATCCTAGGATACACCGTTGATTTCATTGAGGTTAGATGTATCTAACTGTAAATAGGATGGAGCTATTAGAATGTTTAAGCAGTATATTAATCCTATTTATATTACTTTCCTGTTTGCATCTGTATGTTGGTAAGTAGCTTTAATAGTTTTTGTAAGTTTTATACAATAATAATAAAAGTTTGTAACTTTTAGCAAGATTTACAGTTTTAACAAAGCAGGCACTATGTACGACAACCTGCTTTTATTCAAAATTCTTCTCAGTGTGCTTGTTGCATCCTTGACTTTTAATAGGATACAAATGGTTCACTTTTTTTTACCCATGAGTGGCTGTTAGTGAGTTAAAAAGTGAAGATAAAGTTAGAAGTAATTTTAAATGAAAAGGAGATGAAAATTCAGTGAGTTATTATACACTCAACCCAGCTTTTATTTTGGGTGCTAAGGCAGCAGAATGCTAGGAATGAAGTGGCTTTCCCTCCCCCATTTCAATACAATTAAATAAAACACTTCATTATTAAATATTAATTATTTTACTCATTTTCTAAAGTTGTAACTATTTAAGAATTTAGTCTTTCTTTCTTTCTTTCTTTCTTTCTTTCTTTCTTTCTTTCTTTCTTTCTTTCTTTCTTTCTTTCTTTCTTTCGCTTGCCTGTTTCCTTAGTGACCATTCTCATTTGCTTTTCTGGATCATATACTTGTTATATTGGTCCCTGGGGCACATTCATTTAAAATGGCTGTATAAGGTAAGCTAGTGATCCTTGAAGTTCACTTAGAGGGCATCATGCAAGCAAAGAAGACTGTCTCTCAACCTTTTCAAAGTATTATTGGAGGTACTCCTGAATAGGTTTGTCACCTTTTGCTTTTGTCCTTGCTTCTCAAATAGCTAAACAGCATATATCAGAACATTTGAAAATATAGATTTATAAATGCTGTCAAAAGGTTACTGAAAGGGGCACAGAATGTTAATGGCTTTTCATACAATTAATTTGTGTGACATAGTAGGTCCTGTCTTCTCTCCAGTTGAAATATGGGTTACAAATCTTTCTAAAGCTAGATATCCAACTTGACTCCACAGTAGAGCTAGACATTTTTGTGGACCATTTAGTATGGACATCACTGTATTGGAACTTAAATTGGCACATTCATCACCTTGCCAACAAAGGTCCACATAATCAAAGCTATGGTTTTTCCAGTAGTGATGCATGGAAGTGAGAGCTGGACCATAAAGAAGGCTTAGCACCGAAGAATTGATGCTTTTAATTGCGGAGCTGAAGGAGACTCTTGAGAATCCCCTGGACTGCAAGGAGACCAAACCTATCCATTCTGAAGGAAATCAACCCTGAGTGCTCACTGGAAGGACAGATCGTGAAGCTGAGGTTTTGGCCATCTCATGAGAAGATAAATTTTCCTGGAAAAGACCCTGATATTAGGAAAGTGTGAAGGCAAGAGGAGAAGGGGACAACAAGGGACGAGATTGTTGGACAGTGTCATTGAAGTAACCAACATGAATTTGACCAAACTCCAGTAGGCAATGGAAGACAGGAGGGCCATGCGTGCTCTGGACCATGGGATCATGAAGAGTTGGACACAATTTAACGACCAAACAACAACAAATGTCCTCCAAAGGGCAGTAGTGAAGAAGTAAAAGTGAGGGGAAATGACTTTTTGAACAACTCCCAGAATCTCTCAGGTGGCATGATCAGTGTTTCTGCTGATTAAGAAATTCTGGGAGTTATAGTCAAAATAAATAAATAAATAAATCATTTTTCCAATTTCTGGTTAAAAGTTATATCACAGTGGTAGGGGGAAAATGGCAATCCTGCAGTTATTGTCACTGTGCATGACTACCATCTTATGTAGGAGCTGAAGCTCAGTAGAGAGTTGTTATCCTTGAAAAGGTCCATGGAAGACTGAAAGGCTCTTATCGTAATCACTAACTCTTCTTCCTACTGGTCATTTGCGAGGTTATTGTTCAGTTATGTAACATTGATGAAGTCAGCTGAAAGTCTGTTATCACCTTTTCTGAACAGAACAGATGGGAAAGGGATACTTAAGTGTTTAAGTAAACTAGACAATCATCAATCAAAATGTTTATGTTTTATTGGGGATTGTCTGGTCAATTGCCAGTTCTCCTTGATAATTGTTCATCTTTATTTATATCAAGAGGGAGTTAAACTAGATTTTGTTCTCTTTCTGTTAAAGTGGGACATAGATGGGGCTGTTCAGTGTATGCTACACTGTATCCTGGAGGCTCACTGTTTGAATTGCTCACTAGATGTAGCTGCCGCTGTAACTACGATTGGGAGTTGAATTCCTCACTGTGTCTTATATGAGGAGATCCAGTCAGTGTTGTCTTAGGCATACTACACAGTTCTAGAGTGCTACTAGAAGAAGGGAATGATAAACCACTTCTGAGTACTCTGTATCCAGAAAACCCTGGAAAGAATCAACTCAACAGCCTGTAATTATCAATTATTATTATCATTATCCTAGAAGCTCAGAATAAGTAATAGTAAATCTAATCTGCAAAGATAAAAACTAACAGTGTATTAAATTGAAATAGATAACAGGGCACATAAATGTCCTAAATTTCTACATTTTCATGGATATGGTGATTAGCTTGTTTTATAGGCAATAGGTTGAGGTCCAGAAATGTATTCTGCTGTGTACACTTAATTCTCTTTTAAGTGACCAGCTTCTGACATGGCCTTGACATCACCTAGCATTAGGGGATTCATGGGTTGTTAGCCCATATGTTCAGGCAGATCATTACTTACTAATATGTGTGAAATCATGATTATGTACAAGATCCAAAAGACGAAAGAAAATGTGGAATATTTTTCTATGTCTCAAACATGGGAGTAAGTCATTTTCATGGAGGATGACAACTAGACATAATTGCTGTTACTAGGTGTGTGTCTGCAGATGCCAGAAACTGAGTTATATCAGCAGGAAAGTGCTATTGCCATTAATGTCTTGCTTGTTGGCTTCTTAGAAGCCTGTCATTTGCTGCTCTGGAAAATGGAATACTCTACAAAATGGCCTTTTCTGTGACTCAGAAAGTCACTTCTTACATCCTTCATGATTGGAAAACTTTTTAACATACCTGAATTACAATTTGATGGATCCTCTGACCTAATGAACAACAAATTGGCTGTGTCTGTTAAAATACTGTCATGTCCTCCTAAGGCCAATCCACAGAGAAAGATTTTGTGAAATATATGTTTTTGTGTGTTTTGCTGAGATTCCAGGAAGATATGGTCTGATAATTTTTAGTGTAGTTTTGATATTCTGGCACATTGCATAAGTTATATTCACCAATTTCTGTCATTGATCTTCAAGAGTATAATGGGAAAAGATAATTCTGTGTACAGCTGTGATCAGACTGATGTGCTTTATAGATCACAACCAACCTCTTTGATTGTGTTTTAGGAAGTGATAGGAAGTAGTACAGATGCAAGAATGCCCAATGACCCTCTCATTTTGGGTACATTTCATCAGATTACAGCTGATTTTCTCACTGGCTGGAAAGGCTTCAGTCAAGTGTGTTATAATAGTCTACTCTTGAATTTGTAAAACTTTGGACACTGGTCTCTAGGGCACAGTTTACTTGGTGACTTTTCAATTGAAGTACAGTGGTGCCTCGCACAACGATTGCTTCATACAACGACGAATTCACACAGCAATGGGTTTCTTTGAGGAATTTCCCCCATCGTTTAACGATGTTCTATATGGGGGAATTTCACTTAACGATGTCCCTTTTTCGCTCCTGTAAAAGTGCCTTAAACTGTTTGAAACCTGTTTTAAATGCTTGCAATTGTTAGCCCACCTCCTGAACCCTATGCAAACTTAATTTGGTGTTGTTCTGAGTCGTCATTAATTTTTGGTGAATTTTTTTATTCTCCATTGAAAGCCTTTGAACGGTCCGTTCAAAGGCTTTCAATGGAGAATAAAAAAATTCACCAAAAATTAATGACGACTCAGAACAACACCAAATTAAGTTTGCATAGGGTTCAGGAGGTGGGCTAACAATTGCAAGCATTTAAAACAGGTTTCAAACAGTTTAAGGCACTTTTAGGGTCTTGACTTAAGAACGGCTTGAGTTAAGAACATTTTGACTTAAGAACCACTCTCATAGGAAAATATTGACTTGACTTACATACTTAGATTTGAGTTAAGAACTGAAAAAAAACCACGTGGGAGGCAGGGAAAGTGCAAAATTTGAACTTTCAGTTAACTGTTGGCCAGTGAAAAGGGTGCCTGTCTGCTTCCTCACTCCTCCCAGCGTTTAGAGAGTGGATTGGGAGACAGTCTTCAGACTGCCTGGTACTTGTACTGCCTGGACTGTATTTTCCCTGCCTTCCCTGAACCTTTCTTGACCTAAGAAAAAAAGAAACAAAATATCCCCCTCTAGTGGTCGAAGGCGGAATAGCAGCTTCCCATTAGTTTCTATGGACGGAAAAGAGCAGATACGGATCAAATGGTTTTCAATGCATTCCTATGGGAAATGGTGTTTCGCAGAACGATGGTTTCACACAGCGATGAATTTTTTGGAACCAATTAACATTGTTGTGTGAGGCACCACTGTATTTGCTTATAAGCATTCCAACTCTGTGATATGCAGTTCAATTTTAATGCCTTTTTTGTTATTAAAGGTTCTGAAACAAAAACAGTTGGAGGATGTCCACCTTCAGGAAGTATCAGTAAGGAGATTTGCATCATTCAGTCTCTTCTCAGTCACAGAAGATGACAAGAAGCTAACAGAAGATGAATCTGGGACTTGGGTTCAGTATAAAAGCAACTGTTATCCAGAATATAGTATATTATTAAAGTAAGTATCACTCTTGTTCTGTGCAAGTACTTTCCATATCTGGAATGTGTTATTTTTAATTCCACTTTCTCCTGTTTTGTGGTGAATAATTTAAAGAACTCTATCTCATTTTAACAGCTTTTGAATTCATGGTCTCAATTAAATTTTCCATTGAATTGATCTTTGTGTAATTTGATATACATTGTCTACCACTAGATGTGTTCTCATACATGCCCCTAAATTGTAAGAGTTTCTTGTTTTCTGGGTCATACATTAATATTGTTCATGTGGAAGAGAATTTGGAAAAGTTTATTTTCTCATTGGTTTGTTTTATTTACAGTGGGGTCTTGACTTAAGAACGGCTTGCGTTAAGAACATTTTGACTTAAGAACCGCTCTCATAGGAAAATATTGACTTGACTTACATACTTAGATTTGAGTTAAGAACTGAAAAAAACCCACGTGGGAGGCAGGGAAAGTGCAAAATCTGAACTTTCAGTTAACTGTTGGCCAGTGAAAAGGGTGCCTGTCTGCTTCCTCACTCCTCCCAGCGTTTAGAGAGGGGATTGGGGGACAGTCTTCAGACTGCCTGGTACTTGTACTGCCTGGACTGTATTTTCCCTGCCTTCCCTGAACCTTTCTTGACCTAAGAAAAAAAGAAACAAAATATCCCCCTCTAGTGGTCGAAGGCGGAATAGCAGCTTCCCATTAGTTTCTATGGACGGAAAAGAGCAGATACGGATCAAATGGTTTTCAATGCATTCCTATGGGAAATGCAGATTTGACCTGAGAACTTTTTGACTTGAGAACCGCCTTCCAATACGGATTAAGTTCTCAAGTCAAGACCCCACTGTATTGGCTTTCTCTCAATAAGGGGATTTGATTGGTTTTACATTTTTACATTTATGCAGGGACTAGAACTGGTTTAAAATTAAGCTACATCTAGTTTAATGTGGAAAAAAAATCTTCATGCAGCCCAAAGCTGTACATCCGTATGTCCTTGGAGATCAGCCCCACCAAGTTCTGTGGGGCTTGCTCATTGAACTTACTTGCATATTACACTTAAGTTTCTTTGGCCTTACAGTTTATTAATGGGAAAAGTTCTTCAGTCAGGTCTGTATATAATGGGCTGGGTTTGGTTTGGGAGGAGTGTGCCACATAGTAGAACTGCACTGTGACCAGAGTTTTAGCCTTCCCCATATCCATACTGTTCTTGTTGTCTCTATGCCTTAAAGGTCTTGGCACCTGCTGCAGACTACCCCACACTACCATTTAAAGCATACAGTGGAACACAGTGTATTGGGAGTAGGAGAAACCAGAAACAGTACCTAGTTTTGCCTACATGGGTCCAGAATAACTGAGTCTGTTTCTTGTGCAGATTTGGATGTTTCCGTGATAGATGCAAATATTACTTGCACGTCCTCTGTCCTTCAATCCGTGGTATTTTTCTTGAAGTGCTCTTGGAAATACAAAAGGAAAGTGGCTTGGAGGGAGGGAATGGGTCAAAGCAGAGAATTGGCTGCAGGAAAAGGCACTAAATATTCCTCCTGTCAATTTTCTGCACCAAATTATCCTTCAAAAGGTAAGGCTAACCTTTGGGATATTGTTACAAGAGTATAAATATAAAGCATTCTCAGACCCAAAGGATAGAAGCAGATGTGATTATAGCAGATTCATATCTTCAAATGGAGATTGTTACCCATCACTTGTGAAGTACAGTAGATGTTTTCAAGCAGAAAAACAACTGGCTTGAGAATGGTGTTGAACTTTATTCCTTCTTACTAATATGCCTCCTGCAAGATCTCCCATATGCTGCTCCCTCAACATTACATTTTGGACTTTGAGCCTTGACTGGAGAAAAGTAGCTTGAAAAGAGGAGCTGTGGAAGGAAAAGCAGTGAGTATCGGAAGAACTCAGTACTCCTGCCCACTTCTTGCTTTTTTTGTGTATGAAATATGCCCCCCTCTATGCACTTCATAGGTGTTTAATGGCAGTCTGCTTTTGAACATGCTGGTCTGCTGCAGTCATGTATAATTCTGCCATTAGGTACTACAAGGGTTGTGATCAGCTCCTTGATTTTAGCTTCATTGTTATTTTTATAATCTTGTATTCTTCCATAGTCTAGCTTTCAGTCATAATAAACTGGCTATCGAAAATGTCTGAGTACATTTGTTGGCCAAATAGAGTGATGTTTCGAGTAAGGAGAATTTGAGCATGCTGTGGAGTCCCACTGAAATCTCTGATACAACAGTCACCGGCATGAAGCAGCTATAAAACCCTGCAGAAACCATTACAAGATTTTGACAGTCTCAGCAAACCACTGTAATGAGTTGCCAAAGTTAGATTTATAGCCTTCTTTCTATCCTTTATTTGATTTCATACAGTTTTGAAGCTTGTGCTTTCTAGCAGGAGAGCAGTAGCTTAAACATCCTAAAGGTTATACTTTTTCTAAAGCCCCTTATTAGACCTGCTGTGAATGTTGACTTTTATATTTCCTGCTTAGAACAGAGTATTCTGGAGGATCTGTTGTACTGAATTCACACAACATAGCAATTACTGAATTGCACTGATTCTTAGTGGATGTGCAATTTATGTTTGATTAATGTTAATCAACCACAATTTATCATTAATTATGGTGACCATTTTAAAATTACAAGTAGGTCATTGTAGTTCTAAAACTAACTAGTATTGTCTTACATGAAAAAAATGCGTGTTTTTTTTGTTTTTTGTTTTTAAATTTTATAGTACCAAACATGTTTTTGAGGGTAAAAAAAGCCCAGCACATTCTTGTGGCATTTGAAAGAATAACAAATTTGTGATGGCAGAAACCTTTGTGGGCTGCAGGTTATGTCATCTGTTTTTGCCACAATAAATGTTGCATCCTTTTAAGGTTCCATAAGCATGAGACTAATATTGTTACTCCCACTAATAAAATTATTTACTAATGCATATACATTTTCTTGCTAAACAACAACTTTTTATTTTAATGGAAGGGATTCTTAGGGTCTAGCTCATACCATATGGTATATGCTTTGGCTCAATAATCCAGTTCTTCACACTGGACTTATGGTAGTTTGTTTCTACATGTTCATAGGCTCTGTCCATGCAAGTAGTTTAAAAGATCTCATAATATGAAAGTCCTGGAAATGAAAACTAGCCAAGCAATGGTGCATGCACTTATACCTAGATTTGGGCTTATAGCAAAACCCTCCTATTGTCCATTTGTTCTTGTATAGACTCAGCACATCGGATCCTCCAGAATAGTGCTTCACGCTAATGGAGTGGTATGATTGATTGATTGATTGATTGATTGATTGATTGATAGATAGATAGAGAGATAGATAGATAGATAGATAGATAGATAGATAGATAGATAGATAGATAGATAGATAGATAGATAGATAGATAGATAGATAGATAGATAGATAGATAGATAGATAGATCATGAAAAGGCTGGAAAAGATATTTTTTGGGGTTATACAGCTCCCAGAATCCGCTAACCATTATGGTTGTTTTTAATAAGGTTAAGTGGTCCCACTCTCAGTGGGGCCAACTAATTTCTTCAATTAAAAATGTTATTAGTACTGTTATTTAGGTAGTGCCATTAATGTATATGGAATGTCACAAAGCAAGAACAACAATAAGAATTCCTGCCTTTGTGAATATTTTGGATAAGATCATTTTTCTTTCAAAAATACTGTACCGGTCTTTGGCCCTGTTTCTGTCATGCATATTAAAAGTTTTGTTACATGCTGCGTATTTGTAAAGTGTAGATATTTTGCCTCAACATCTTTTTTCTTGTACTAGGCAATATTCTGTAATTTGGAAGGAGTGTCCTTTTAAACAAAAAAAATGCAGTCACTTAGCATTTGAGGGAAATTGAGAGATTAATGCAAGTGTCGCTTCTCTGTCAACATTATTTTGCCTGAGAAAACAGTACTATTTCTTTCTTTAGTCCTCTGTGAAAGGGTGGGTTGGTGATGATTGAAGTTAATGGCTGAGCCCACTCAAAGCAGAAATATTTGTTCACTGGATTGAAATTTTAGTAGAATTTAGTAGAATTAACACCTATCTCTTTGCCTGTGTTTTTAAAACAGTATACATTATGGCATTTTTCTTGAAATTTTCAATGGAAGATTTGTTTCTCATAATAATTCTTATATTTGGATGATGTTCTTTCTTTATAATAATTACCAATACTTGGGTTTAAATTAAAGCAGCTTTGAATTTTCCCATGTCCCAAGATTATTTCTCAGAAAGCCTATTGAGCATTTTAGGGCTGACAGGTATTATCCTGACAAGACTAAATACTGCATAAAGTTCACAAGGTTGTCTGTGGCTCATGGCAAAAAGTCTAAAGGCCAAGCTATATCCATTCAAAGGCTATCAACATGGATCAAATTGTGTATTCAGATATGCTATGAACCAAGCTGGAGCTGCTGCACTAGAGGACTTGAAGACCGTTTTGCAGGCAAGTGGCATCTTTTTTGTGTGCTGATTGTCATGACCTTCCAAATATCTAACTCAGTAGTTAATACTGAAGACAATGGTGGTGTACCGATTTAAGGCAATATCTGTATTATAGTTCAGTAAGTGATGACACTAATTCAGGGATTATTTTCCCCTTCTAAACTGTAAGTAGCTCCACATTTTGGGGAAAAAATAAATCCATTTTTATAAATCTGATCAGGCTTTATTCACACTAGATCCCAGTGAACACAGGTAAGATATTACAGCTTCCACATATACGGAAACTGTGTTTAGATGATAACAAAAGAAAACTGTTCTCTTGCTCAGGCCATTCTGTTTTATATGTGCGAGTGAAGTTAATTTGTGTAATCTATATGTATTATTGTTCTTTCAGTAGCTCTGTGTGAAGTTTTATGTATGGATTTTATTTTTATTCAGCTTCTTTAAAATCTATTGCTTAAATATTATAATAGTAAGGATTGTGCTACAGTCTCCTCCACAATTATTCCATAACATAGCCATGTTAATTTTAAGACTCTAGGACAGTCAATG